TTAAGTAAAATACAGCTAGTGGAGACGGTTTAAAAAAATAAATAAATAAAATGCTGCTAATGGAGAAGGTTGGAAAATAGAAAATAAAAAGCAGATATTGGAGGCGGTTTTGAAATAAAAAATAAAATACAGGTAGTGGAGACGGCTGGAAAATGTAAAATAAAATACAGGAAGGAGAAAAGGTTTTAAAATAGAGAACAAAATACAGCTAGTGGATATACGATTTGAAAAAATAAAATAAAATACAGCTAATGGAGACGGTTGGAAAAAATAAAATAAAATATTTATAGGTAGTAGATACGGTTGGAAAAAAAAATGCTGCAAGTGGAGACGGTTGGAAAAAAGAAAAGAAAATACAGCTAGTGGAGACGGTTTTATAACATAAAGTAAAATACACGTAATGGAGACGGTTGGGAAATATAAAATAAAATACAGCTAGTGGAGACGATTAGAACATATGAAATAAATCACAGCTAGTGGACACGGTTTTATAACATAAAGTAAAATACACGTAATGGAGATGGTTGGACAATTTTAAAAATACGGCTAGTGGAGACGGTTGTAACATAGATAATTTAATAGAGCTAGGGGAACCGGTTTTAAAATATAAAATAAAATACAGCTTGGGGAAACGGTTTTGAAATATAAAATAAAATATAGCTAGTGGAGACGGTTAGAAAATAGAAAATAAAAAGGAGCTATTGGAGACGAGTTTGAAATAAAAAATGAAATATAGCGAGCGGAAACGGTTTAAAATATAAAATAAAATACAGCTTGGGGAAACGGTTATTTTAAAAAATAAAATACAGCTGGTGGAGACGGTTAGAAAATAACAAATAAAATACAGCTGGTGAAGACGGTTGGGAAATAGAAAATAAAATACAGCTAGAGGAAACGGTTTTAAAATAAATAAAATACAGGTACTGGAGACGATTTAGAACATATGAAATAAATTACAACTAATGGAGACGGTTGGAAAATGGAAAATAAAATTCGGTAGGGGAAACAGTTATAAAATAGAAAATAAAATACAGCTATTTTAGAAGGTTGAAAATAGAAAATAAAATAAGGCTAGTGGAGAGGATTTTAAGATAAAAAATAACTATATCTAGTGGAGACGGTTGGAATATAATATATAGAAGCAAAAATACAGGAGAGTGAAAAGGTTTTAAAAAAGAAGCAAAAAAATGCAGCTAGTGGATGCGGTTTGGAAATATAAAAAAAAATTAATTGTGAGGCAGCGTGGTGGAATCAGGATCTCGTCAATTTTTGGGCATGTAGAGTTATTGGTATCATCTTAAAGCTTGTTCACTTGTCTTTATTTGGATGAAAAAAGTATCCATTATCTTGAATACAAGGTGAGATATTTACGAAAGAAGGAGGTGGGGTTCACCTGTTTTCAGAGGCAAAATTAGTGAGAAAAAGGCCGCCAAAGATTAGTTATTTCCATAGTTTAAGAGTCCATGGTCAACTGAAAATTTACATTTTTTGTCCCTTTAATCAACGTTTTTCCAGAAAAATCCACACTTAAATGAGTTCTTTAATGGGCATGAAAGGTGTTGAGCCAAAAAACAAAAATTTGATAAAAATTCACAAACCTGTTGAAAAATGCAAGTTTCTTCACTCTGATTATTTTGACGAGAGCCTGATTCCACCACGCTGCCTCACAAATACATCTAGTGGGGACAGTTGGAACATATATAGAAACAAAAATACAGGAGAGTGAAAAGGTTTTTAAAAAAAAAATGCAGCTAGTGGAAACGGTTGGAAAATTAGAAATAAAATACAGCTAGTGAACACGTTGGGGAAATAGAAAATAAAAAGCAGCTATTGGATGCGGTTTTGAAAAAAAATAAATAATTGTAGTCGTTCTCTTAGTCGTCTGCTGTGTGCGTGGGTAAATACTCACTTATTGTGGTGGCCTGGATCCATTAAACATTATTGAAAACGTCACGCAAATATTTTCTCATTTCATTAATAAGCAACTGGTTATTGCAGTTGTACAATATTGTGTGAGTGTTACACTGGGCCACTTGCAGTCATTGTTTTTTGTTGTTGTTGTTCGAGTAGAGATACATTTGTTTTAGCAGAGTTTTTACGGCGCTCGCAACTGTATAAGGTCATATGAGAGCCAAAGAGATAATTAAGTTCTACCACGTCATAATATTATCTATTAATGTCATTTTTTGTAGGGGAGTAATATAAGAATATAGACTGTGAGACAGATAGACAGAGAGACAGTAGGCAAACAGACACACAGACACACAGACAAGCATTAAAAGAAATGAAAATGGTATAGGCTGAACTCACCTGTCAACACTATTAGGTTATTTAAGAGGCGGGGCCTCGAATTTAAAGTCCATCTCCGAAACGACCGAACCAAATGGGAATATTATTCGAGTAAAATGCCTTTCCCAATGACACAACGTCGGGCCGAGCTGAGGCTCGAATCCCCGAACCCGCAATATCGCGATTACGAGTCTGGTAGTCTAACCACTAGGCCACCGACAAGCATCTGACAGAAAGGAAATTAAAAAAGGGATAGAAAAGAAGTAAAACCTATCAGGGCGCCTACAAATCGCAAGCATAGTTAACAGGAAGCTACAAAAGCCTCACGATGTGTTGTTGGCCATGGAAAAGAAGTTGCACCAATTAGCTGTGCTGTCAGACACACCGCACTTGTAAATGCCCACACGGGATGATGCCACAGCAGAAATAATAATAATAATAATAGATAGCATTTGTATAGCGCACATCCCCGCTCATCAGCAGGCTCTATGAGCTTTACACTGTATTATTACCCCAGCAGACCATAGAACACTCCGAACCATTCTCAGCTTCCTGGGAAGCATACAGTGCAAGCAGCCGATAAAGCGCTCAAACACTTACAAACTGACAAGATCTTTCGCTGTCTATAGCCGGGTACCCATTCCCACCTGGGTGAAGTGAGGAAAATTCGTGTAAACTGCCTTTCCCAAGGACACAACGTCGGGCCCCTGACGGGATTCGAACCCACGACCTTACGGTTGCGAGTCCGATAGCCTAACCACTAGGCCACCGACGTCTAACAGAAACACTAACAGAAGTTGCAAACACCATAGTTTTTTTCTCTCTTTCACAAACTTCCCCCCAAACCAACAAAACCAACACCTTCTAAAACATCCAATGTGGGTGGTTGGCGGGTGCTCTGGTGTGGTTTGCTTCTTCTGTCCTATCAAACATCTATCGTCCTTATCTCCCCTTCTTCTTTTTTATGTTTGTTACTCTCTTGTAACAGCTCTAATCTTATGGCGCTCATATGACCTTATGCAGTTGCGAGTGCCGTAAAACTTTTACTAAAACTAAACTAAACATCCAAACCAGCAGCCAACAACAACAGAGAAATGTGCAACTCCTACTTCACGTCTAAAAACTCGAATCCTGTGAGGGCAATGCAGAGTCAGGTCCGGATGGAATACACAGCCGAATCATCAGACATTTCCCCAAAGAAACACTCACTCTTCTTTTGAACATATCTACAACAACGACATAACGTGCGCCAGTTGCACACTTTTCCCGGCTCCTAACATCTTGCCACTGCCAGCCCTATCTCCAAGCGAGACAAATAGATCTCACAAATCCACCCAACAACAGATTTAACGTGCTGTCTTCGCAAAACTGTGGAAAAATAACCAAGCAAAGTCGTATTATGATATTTCTTGAAACTGCAAATTCAATGAGTAATTTCTAGTGTGAGTTCCGAAGTCTGGATCATGTTATATGGCGGGAGACTTTTATACTTAAAACCTTTATTAAGAAAGGCCACATGATCTCAATCAATTTTGACCTAGAAAACGCCGATACGTAAAGTGAACGTCCCTCCCTTTGGAGGGTTTTACCTGTCTAAGTCAAAGACGGAAAAGACCTTGCCCACTCAGCCTTGATTTGAAACTATCATGTTGGTTACTCTAACCTTTACACCATGCCGCTAGACGAAGAAGGGGGAGAACTTTCACAAATATAATAGAGTAGATAATATAAATAAATAAATAAATAACATTTTTATAGCGCATATCCCCGCTCTACAGAAAGCTCTATGCGCTTTACACTATATTATTACCCCAGCAGACCATAGAACACCCAAAAACATTCTCAGCTTCCCGGGAAGCATACAGTGCAAGCAGCTGATTAAGCGCTCAAACACTAACAAACTAACAAGATCTTTCGTTGTCTATAGCCGGGTAGATTACATTTATGTATGTAAACGTATCGTATCATGGGAACTTGCGCTCGTCAGTTTTTGGGCATATTGAGTTATTGATATCATCTTAAAACTTGTTCATTTGTCTTGGTTCTGATGTAAAAATGCCACAACAACAAAACAAAGCAAACACAATACGAATGTTCCGAATGAAAGTTTATTTTCATTCCAATTGCCGGACCTAAACTAAAAGAGGACAGTTGCAAAGCTAGAGATATGACGTTTCATATTTATAAATAAAACTCCCTGTATATATCTACAGAAAAGTTATGGTTTCTTCCTCCTAATGAAACACGGTTTAACCTGCTCTAACGACCACCTGTATAAGACAGCATCTGTACATGCGGCCATTTCCCCCGTTTTTCCTCTTCAGTATTTATATACATCATTATGGCACTGTGTAAGATGGTCACCTCTAAAAAAAGGGCCAGTGTTCTCCTCTACAACGGGTGGCCGTGTTATGAAATGTCGACAGTTCCATTTACAATTGGTAGCTTTTAAGCACAAGAGGGCTATCCCGAAAAATGCTGTTTTGAGAAAACCAAAGTTAAAGTTTTGCCCCTCGTTCGGTTTCTTTAAAAGGCGTGGAGAATTTTCTCTGCAACCAAACAAATATACACACCAATCAGACCAAACTTCTCCTATAGGTAGGGCATTTAATGCCCACTTTTGATGTAGGTCAAGATTTCTGGAAACCCACGAAATCTGGGTCAGCCCACTTGTCCTTGAAAGCGACCCATTTCTTTGGTTTCCCTTTCTCTCACTGGCTGGAGCGACACCAGCACATCATGTTGAATGTCTGTCTGTACTTTGAGCTCATCCTAATGTACACGAAAATGTTGATAGAGGAGTTGATGGCCTCAAAGATGAACGAGAAAGAGAAAAGGACGTTGAAGAGATTCTGATACCGGCCTGTGATGCTGAGCTCTGGTACCATGATAACAGTGAGGAAGATGACTGTTGTTGGGGTGTAGCTGACGATGAAAATCACAGAAATTGTGACAACCATTTTGACGACTCGGTTATCCCTCCCAGACTTAACTGCCTCCATAGAAGAAACTGCGCTTTCCCTCCATTTTGCCTTGCTGTTGAGCTTCACAACCAAGATAACAGTGCACCCAATGACAGTAAAAAACGAAGCCACGGGGGAGAAGACGTTATTAATTGCCAAAATGACGTCATCAATTTCCTCTCTGTCCGATGTGAAAGCGAGGCCGAGGAGGCTTTTGTTTCGCTTTTCAGAAAACCTCCAAGCCAGTCGAGTTGTGTAGTACACGGGCGCGATAGAAGCCGCGGTGAGAAGGAAGATAGAGAGGATGATGACGCGTGATCGAAAAGGGGTGAGGAGTTGTTTGACTTTAAGAGGGAGGGCAATACACAGACATCTCTCGAGGGCGATGTAGGCCGTGATCCAGCTGGTAACCCTCGTGAACCATACGTGGGGCCAGCCGCCGGTTAGGTACTGCACCTGAGACAGAAATAAATGTACAGACGGTGGAACCTTGTCAAGATGACTATGCATTGTAAAGGAGAAAGACAGTGTAATTATGACACAAAGCTTTAAAATAATTGTTGGGAGGGGGGGGAGTGGTCATTTGTACTTGTGCTTGAACAAGTGGTTGTCAGAGTAGGTTTGACTGTATGTCGTTTATTATAATATGAGAGAGAGAGAGAGAGAGAGAGAGAGAGAGAGAGAGAGAGAGAGAGAGAGAGAGAGAGAGAGAGAGATCACGTATTGCGCACCTGAAGGGAGGACGTATACTATGGTGTGTTGATCAGGCTCTTCGCAGAAGACGTTAATTCGATTACCCAGAGATCAAGTGTTTTTAATCGCTCAACCCTAGGCCTTCTCAGTCTGAGAAAGCCTAGGCTCAACCCCACCTGTCTGCTGCAATGTTGTATCACTCTCAGCCTGTGTTGAACTTGACCTGCATGACCGGAGCAGCCTTCTTCCCCTTACTTGTTCTAGGTTGCGTCGATATATAGGAATAAAACACAAGACAGCACGTACTTTATCACAATTACAATAATACAAACCCGGTGATGGAAGAAAGAACAGCTACATTCGACCAAATATTGTACATAACAAGATAGTTCACTCGGCCAAAAAAGTGTCCGCGGATGTCTGCGTCTGCGCATTGGTTCAGATGTCGCTACAGTCTTTGTTTTGAAACTCTCTTTCGTTTCTCGGAAGAAGAATAGGAATAGCACCCCCCTTGATTTACTTTTTTATGCACAAGAGCAGCGCGGGTTTGACAACAGCATAGATTCCTTTTCCCACAAGGAAAGCGTAAGAAGGGAAGACCTAAGATGACATGGAGGCGAGCGGTATCAGCGGAAATTGAAAAAGCGGGGACATCATGGAAACAGAGAGAAAAGGATGCTCAGGACAGGCTTCGCTGGAGTAATGTTGTTGATGGCCTGTGCTCCACTGGGAGTTAAAAAGGGCAAGAGAGAGATAGATTCCTTTTAGAACGTGCATTTGGACGACGTGACAGACAGGTTCTACCTTTTATTTACTCTCTAATTGTGATTCTCGACTTCGCTCTTCGAGCGCATGAAATGAACGTTATCGAGTTGGAATGCCTCTTTGTATATGTAAACTATTAAAATTGTTAGACGCTTGATCACTTGAAAAAATAACAAAAGGGTTGCCTTCAAAACTCAACAATAAACACATTTGTGAGACAGTGTGGTGAACTGAGGCTCTCGTCAAAATAGTGAAATTGAAGAAACAGGCATTTTTCTGTCAGTTTGGCAATTTTTGTCGAGTTTGTGTTTTTTGGCTCTACACCTTTAAGGTCCATATAAAAATACATTTCCCTGTGAACTTCACTGAAAAAAGTTGATTGAAGGTACAAAATACATGTTTGTAAATGTTCAGTTTTTAAGGACTCACAGCTGTTGAAGTTACCAAACTTTAGCGCCATTTTCTCGCTCATTTTGTATTGCTGAAACCAGGCGACCCCACCTCCTTCAATCGCCAATATTTCGACTTCTATTCAAGATAGATAGGCATTTTTAAATAATAAAAGCAAGGCAAATGAACGAGCTTTCAGCTGATACCAATAACTCTAAACGGCCAAAAATTGACGATTGCCTGATTCCACCGCGTCGTGACACATTTGATAAATGAAATAATATGTTGTTACTATCTCATCCGCAAAATTAAGATCATTTACGAGATGGACTTCTGAGCCTGTTTTTCAGGGCTAACCCAAGCTGAGAAGACTACAACATCAAAGCAGAAAGACCGAGATACTCGATACAAACTCTACCCACTAGATAATAGAACTCGGGTATCCGGCGTGCGACAATGAAGCACATAGCTCTAGCTCTACACCAGGGACGCCGGTAGCACTCGACATTTACAATGGCCTTATGTTGAAAAAAAGTTTTCTGCAAGAAACTTCAAAGATAAATTTGTGTCTAGGCTTTTGATACATCCTTTCAGTATTTCTTTTCCTTATTTCAAGTAAACTATGGTAAGTCATGTTTTTCAAATTTTACAGTGGAAACAAAAATTGGATTTTCTTGAAACGTTTTGGGAGGGTAAACTTCATTTTCATGAGGAAGCTTAAAGTCCGACGTTGCATTTGTAGGCTCCTTACTTATAAAAATGAAGTTTATCCACCCAAAACGCTTCAAGAAAATCCGGGATTTTTTTGTCTCTCCTGTAAAATTTGAAAAACATGACTAACCATAGTTTACTTGGCGGCCCTCGATTTGAGAGACACCACAAACAGACTTTGAGTCTACTGTAAATCCCCGATAACACAAACTTCACGAGACCAGATTATAATCTCTTACTTGGTAAGCAGATTCCCTGTTAAGAGAAGTCAGAATGCATACAATTAAAACAGAAAAAAACTAGGGGTTTAAAACCCTTTCATGGTAACTGGTATTTGGTGTTAATTAAACTGCTTCGTGTTAAACAAAGTCTACCGCATTGCAAATTCGTTCGAGGGCGTACCTCAAAAGGAAAGAACGGACTGACGTCAGAGAAGGCCAGCCAAGGGCTCATGAGGCTGTTGTTGTAGATGAGAGTGAGGAGACAGCCCAGGTCAGACAGTGAGAGTCCCACCAGGCTGAGATTCACTGAGTCGGCGAAACCCTGACGCCAGAAGTTGACAATGTTGATCACATTAGCCGTCACCCCAAACACGGAGATGGCTCCACAAATGACCACGAAGTTTAAGGCGAAGTAAATATCTCTATCGGCATTGGAGATTAGACCTTTTCTTCCTTGTAAGGGAAAAGTCGCTATGTCAAGACCTAGAGACGTGCTGTTGTGATTTGAAGAAGTTTCCACAGACATTTCAAATAGCGAGTCCTTTATTTCTGGCTGAAAGTTTGTTTCGGGGTCTTGTACTTCTGAGTGTTGGACTGAGCTTTTTTATGAAGCTGAGGAAGCAGTCGTCTCTTCTGACCTTTTCAATCTTCTTCTATTTGCTAGAGAGTGAAAATAATAGAAAAGTGCTGCTTTTCACTTTTTCCTAGTTAAGTTCTACTATTAAAAATGTAGACTTTAAATTGCGGGAATTAAAACATTTTGGAGAAGAATTTCTGAACCTGCATATAGTTTTAATAATTTATATCAATGGGTCACAGTGATAGTTCTTCTCCTAACTTGACTTAAATCAATGTCTGTGTGTGGGGAGACATCGACAGGGGTAACTGTGTAATGACGTGTAAACGCTGTCGTCAAATAACTATTATCTCGTCCCTGACTCAAATTTTCCTTTCGGTATTTCCGGTGCAGGTTATACGGTTAATCTTTCTGAAATAAGTACAAGTAGTCATAAATTTCAGAACAAATCAACTACTCATTACTTCTCGTTTCCAGGATCCTAAAATTACACTTTAACTCACGATCACATGCTTATCGCTTTTACTTTGTAGTAGTTATGAAGACTAATTGCCGCTACCCGCGAAAATCCAAAGAGGTCAATTGACTATCTCAGATTTAATGTGGTTGAAAAAGTACTCATGAATACAGGATACAGTTAAACGTTCTTTTAAATGGCTTCACTTCTCCAGGCACCAGTTCACCTGAATTTGCAAAAGTTTTCGAGTTTACACTAATTTACAGAGCATAGCTGACGTGCTTTAGCTTTCGTCTCAACCCGTACACCCCTTCCGAGGGTAAACTCACCACTTTCTGCGTTCTGTGTCACCAGATTATTTATCGTTCTGCTAGCTTATTCAAATATCTCCGCTTTGTTCACTTTCAGATTGCTCTTGGTTTTTGACGTTTACAGACTCCGGCTTGACGTATTGACGTCTGGATTCTTCCTCTGGGCGTAAATGACAGGTGAGGTTGTGAACGCTGGAGTCCGTCAAAGTTGTTGATTTATTGCAACTACGGAAGGTGAGGGTAGTTTAAAGGGAAACTGCAAAAATTGCCGTAGAAAGGATACTTACCGTCATACATTACTTTGACTATGGATCAGTTAAAGTCATATGTGAAGCGTGCTGACAAAATGAGTTACTTCTCGGATTCGAACCCCATGGCATAGGTGAATGTTTACAAATCATAAGTGTGAAATTATAAAAGGCATACTATACTTAAAGAATTTTGGCATCAAAAGAAAATCTACACATTTGACCATGGTTGGATTCCTAGTCAAAATCTCCATTTGTGGATTGCGAGAAGTAACTGATTTTGTCAGCACTCCTCACATATAGGTTCTGATTCCAAAATGCCCAGACGTAACAAATCAAAATACGAGGCTTAAGTGGGAATACACATAAATATATTGAGTCAGAAATCACGGAAAACTATCACTCACGGATTTCAAATTTTGAAAAGACTTAGTGTATCAAAAGAAGGTAACATTGGAAGTTGTTTTCGTTTTTGCCTTCTTGTTTTCGCTGTAACCTGTGGTATGTGTAACAGTTGCGTGCATGGCGAAATGTTTGGGCGAAATTCAAATTTTTAATGTTTAAAAAAAAAGAAAAGATTCATAATATCGGTACAATTTATTCTAAAAGGAAAACAGAAATTCTCTGTTCTGAAATATTTCTCTTTCTGCGCTGCAAACAGCTGAACCGCTCGACCACGATCCACATTACAACACTAGTCAACACGCGGTTTGAAGCTTAAAGGTTAAGACTTGTTCTAAACTAAGTTTGGGATCACTGATTACAGAAATGGCATACATTTTTACGTACCCTGTTTTTGATGAAAAAGAATTATTGTTCATGTCGATATGGCAAAATTCAGGAGTTTTTAAACAGTAAGGCGTGTAGTTTGGTTTAAAACTTCTCTTTAATGGTTCAGAGTAACATGCTGAATCTTTAAAAGTGCGAATTTCATCCACAATAAGTAAGCGATCAAAAAGAGCAAAATTATACCAATGTGACGGTGTTGTAAACGTAATGAAATACAACGATGTCCCTGGATATGCCTTATAAAATGTAGCTCAGCCACTATCCATTTTGACCTTCAATCTTTACAAGACAATGACAAAAAAGTCTTGCAAAGTATTGGCTTGCCTGTAAAGACCACTTTTTTTCTCTCTCGCGAAAACAGTGTTTGGCCATAATTTTGTAAAGGTAGTGAACAAGCTTAAGTATAACAACTAAATCCACATTTTCACACAAAATCTGCTTTGAACCCTAATTGTTGTAGTTAGCTTGGATTGAATGAGTTGACAAAGCTCTAAAAATTATGTAAAGATAGTTGTGTCATAGTAGGGAACAAGAGACTACTTCAGTACTTTGCAACATACATACGAGGGGCTTTGTCTTCTTTCACGACGTACTAGATTTATTGCGAGCACTTGGTGTATCTGACTACGAATCGATTGAGTGGAGACCTATTTTTAGACAGCTCACAGAGAAGTCTGAAGTGTGTGCTACGCCATAATGGAATTTCATGTGGGTCTTTTATTGGTTACTCGGTTCTACTTTTATAAAAAAAAAGAATACAAGCACATTTAAAATTGTACTGGGTTGACTTAAATAGGGGCCAAAAGAAAAAGATGTGTGTTGATCTCAAAGTCAACAGAGTGACTACACAAAGTATTAATGATTTCTTTGTCCGAAGGATAGTCAAAGGAACAAAATATGTGACCAGTGAGGGAAGCTTTAGCATTGGGAAGAAGAATATCATAAATGAACCACTTGCTTAGACAGGAAAAAAAATCTTTCGCTCCCTTCACATCAAATGAAGTCCAGTCACGTCAAGTTTTTCTTTGTGGCATAACAACTATTTTGTTGCTTACAATTGAATTAGTTATACTAATAAGAATGCCAACTTTCTTCAGATCTAGTTTTAAAAAAGCATGAGACCTAAAAACACTTTTATTATTTCCTTGTTTCTTCCCTTGAGCCCTTCAAATATTTGGAGTGTTGGTAAGCAATCTTTCGCATTTCAGTTCACATTTACAAGAACGCAAAGCGGAGATGGAGCTTTTCAAAACACGACTCATTAACAACACTTTCTTTTGTAATGTTCTTTTAGTTTAGGTCAGAGTTTTACGGCACGTGCACCACAATGACGTCATGAGTGCCGACTTTTATGTTTTCATAAAACTACTTGGCTATTAAAATTGTTTCTTCACGAATATGCTGTCTTCAGGTGCTGTTGTATCATCGTTTTTGCCAAAGTTTTGAGAATTTAATAGCTAAGTTTCTCCTTGTAGACGTGTGCAGTGTGCGAGTATCTCTCTTGGCTTCGGTATTTCTAATTCATGAAGCCACGTTTATGACTCACTGCCCTCTTTGATTGTTGCAGGCCAACTGGATCTATCAAGAGTTAAGCTCTCCCATGTCAAGGAATTAATATGTGAGTCAGCGTGATGGAATCAGGCTCTCGTCAATTTTTGGGCATGTAGAGTTGATGGTGTCATCTTAAAGCTTGTTCATTTGTCTGAATTTCATTGAAAAAATATCCATTTATCTTGAGTACAATTCCAGATATTTGCGAATGAAGGAGGTGGGGTCACCTGTTTTCAGAAGTAAAATTAGTGAGAAAATGGCCCCCAAAGGTTGGTTATTTCCTTAGCTTAAGAGTCCGTGGTAACTGAAAATTTACATTTTTTGTGCCTTTAATCAACGTTTAAAAAAAAAATCCACACATAAATGAGTTCTTTAATGAGCATGAAAGATGTTGAGCCAAAAAACAAAAATTTGATAAAAATTCACAAACCTGCGGAAAAATGTAAATTTCTTCACTTTCATCATTTTGACGAGAGCCTAATTCCACTGCGCTGCCTCACATATTGAGGTACTTCAGATACATTAGCCTTGAAAGAAGCTGCTTGAAGACAAACAGGGATACTTGATAGCTTCAAAAGACATCTTAAGCATTTTCTGTTCCTACAGGTCTATCCTTTATAAGCTTTTAGACTTTTTAAAATTTACTATAGTTGTTCTGTGTCTACGTCTGAATGAAAATAGTCCGTGTGTGTGTGTGTGTGTGTGTGTGTGTGTGTGTGTGTGTGTGTGTGTGTGTGTGTGTGTGTGTGTGTGTGTGTGTGTGTGTGTGTGTGTTGCATAAATATATATTGCATGAGAAGAAAGGAAGTTATAAGAAAGGTTTTGAAAATGTAAAGTGCATTGAGCTACTTTTTTTTTAAAAAATGCGCTATATAAACTATGTTTTATTATTATTATTATTATTATTATTATTATTATTATTATTATTATTATTATTATTATTTTTATTATTATTATTATTATATTATTATTATTATTATTATTATTTTTATTATTATTATTATTATTATTATAATATTATTATTATTATTATTATTATTATTATTATTATTATTATTATTATTATTATTATTGTTAATATTATTATTATTATTATTATTATTATTATTATTATTATTATTATTATTATTATTATTATTATTATTATTATTATTAAGACAACCTTGAGACCATCTTAAGCCAAATTGACCGTCTGCATAGACGAAAAGAGCCATTTACTTCAGAGACATAGTCAGTGTGTCTTTGTAGCGCTTTTTTGGTGCGAAGGCTTACACGAGGACAGCTATAATTTTTGAGGCAGCGTGGAGTAATCAGGCTCTCGTCAAAATATTCAAAACGAAGAAACTTCCATTTTTCCGCAGGTTTGTGAATTAAAACATTTTTTTGGGGGGCTCAACACCTTTCATCTGTGTGGATTTTTCTGAAAAACGTTGATTAAAGACACAGAAAATGAAAATTTTCAGTTACCACGGACTTTTAAGCTAAGGAAATAACTAAACTTCAGAGGCCATTTTCTCACTAATTTTACTTCTGAAAACAGGTGACCCCCACCTCCTTCTTTCGTAAATATCTCAACTTGTGTTTGAGATAAAT